TTCAACGTGTTAGCCAGGATGGTCTTGATCTCCTGACCTTGTGATCCGCCCGCCTTGACCTCCCAAAGTGCTGGGATTACAGGTGTGAGCCACCACGCCCAGCCCAAGCATTACTTTTTAACTTAGGTAATAATGTCTTTAACATTAATTGGGCTCTTCCACCAAACTGTGAGCTCTGCAATAGGACGAAATCTATTTTGTCCCAAGCCGTATCCCTGGCAACCGGCAAGCACAGTACTTGGCATACATTGTAGAGGCTTAATAAATATTTGCTGAATCATAAAAAGGGTGTAGAGCTACATGTAAGACATTGTGCCAATGAGGAAACTGAGGCGTGGAGAAGTAACTTACCCAGGATCACATAGCTGAGAGCTGGGGAACCAGCCTGGCCGACTCCAGAGCCCAGTCTTTCAACTCTGCAATGGGCCAGCTTCCCAGTGAGTGAACAGAGCCAGAGTGCAGAGGGCCCTGGGGCCATTTTTAACAGTTTCGAACATATTCTCTCTGGCATTGGGGAGATTTTGAAAGCCCTTTAAAGGCCTCATCCTTTTTCGTCTGCTTGTTGTGTTTTCCCTTCCCTCAGCTGCGGGAGACCGTTGAGCAGGAGATTCGAGACATGGGCCTGCAAAGCACGCCGTTCACCCTCACCAAGGTTTTCCAGTTGTATGAAACCAAGAACTCCCGCCACTCCACCATGATTGTGGGCTGCACGGGCAGTGGCAAGACGGCCTCATGGCGCATCCTGCAGGCCTCCCTGTCCTCTCTGTGCCGCGCTGGAGACCCTAACTTCAACATTGTTAGAGTACGGGGCTGGGACAGTGGAGTCAGTGGCAGAGACTTGAGTAGTAAAAAGACAGTGGAGGGTGGGGGCCAGGGAGAACCTTGCAAGGCCAGGAGGGCTGTACTGGGTCCACGGAGGCCTGGAGCGATGAGAGAAGGGGCAAATGCACGTACCTAAGAGGGGTCTGGAAATAAAGGGGGGTTTTTGTCTATCAGCAGCTAAAACCCCTTCTGGTGTCATTTTCAGGAGTTCCCTTTGAACCCCAAGGCATTGTCTCTAGGGGAACTGTACGGGGAATATGACCTCAGCAGCAATGAATGGACAGATGGCATCTTGTCCAGTGTCATGCGGACAGCATGTGCAGGTATCCAAAGGATCGTGGGGTGTGGAGAGCAGACGCCTGAGTCTCCTAAGGAGGCAGGGAGTCTGGGGATAGGAAGTTCCAAGTTGGGAGAGAAATGCCTGGAGAATGCTGAAGTACAAGGACGTGTAGGCTTGCATCTCCGAGGAGTGTGAGCGGAGGGCGCAAGGTGAGCGGCTCCCTGGTTTCCTCATCACCCACCATCTACTCAGATGAGAAACCTGATGAGAAGTGGATCCTGTTCGACGGCCCCGTGGACACGCTGTGGATCGAGAGCATGAACTCCGTCATGGATGATAACAAGGTGTTGACCCTCATCAACGGCGAGCGCATTGCGATGCCTGAGCAGGTCAGGGATGTGGCTGACTCCCGAGGGCTTGCAGAGGCAGGCATCGGAGGGCATGGGCCGGGGCTGGGGAGGACAGCCAGGAATCTCAGAGCAGGGCAGGTTCTGTGGGAGAGAGCTGAAGGGAGGCTGCCTGGATTCAGGGAAACCTGCAGCTGAAGAAAAAATGCTTTGCCTACCATGGCTGTTGAGAACAATGATAAGAAAAACACTCTGTGTCGTAAGCACTGTGTAGGCTCGGGCGGCCCTCCTCAGCTCATTCCCATGGACGCATGAGGCAGGACCCTCATTTGTGCACCCAGGGGTATGAATTCATGGACTGGCAAGCACACCCTTTTCCACCCACTCCAACAATGTGAGCAAGAGAGTGAGTTTTCATAAGGACAACCTTGAATAAGCTCTAGTTTCTTTTAAAGCAAACTGGACTGGGCCAGGTGACTCATGCCTGTAATCCAAGCACTTTGGGAGGGAGGTCAAGGTGGGCAGATCACTTGAG